GATGCGCCTGCCAGCATTTCGGGCGAACCCATTTACGGTAGCCCACAACACGACCAAGGGGACGAAGTCCGTTTCTCTGTCGAGCTGACGCGCTTGGATCGTCTAGAAGGCACGTACAGTCTCGATATCAGGCGGCTGAAGGGCAACTTGCGCAGTTACAAGTTCCTGTACGACGCGATTAGAGAGTGAGTTTGGCTTGGCTGCATCTAAGTTTCACGGCACTGATCATCCTTCGTTTCATTGCAGCCGCGCCAACCTACAGCGGTAAAAGCAAGTTAAATCCCCTTTCGTTGATCTGCGCCCACTTTCTTGCAACGGACATCGCTCGACTCTCAGTCTCATGGCCGGTTCGCTACTATACCATCCATAATAACAGGGCTTTGGCATCACGTCTCACTTGTTTTCCCACTACATGTTCTCCCTTTCACGTCTGGTTCGGTCTGTTTTTCCTTTCACCATTCATCATCGTCTCGGAACTACTGTGACAAAGCATTCTCCGTTCGCAATGGATATGAGCATTCCGACAAGTCGCATTCTGGAATCTTAGGTCCTGGAGGATAGTACAATTGTTTTCGCGCACTCACGGTTACGGTCGCTTCCTATCTGCACTCGATCATATCCTATACCTAGTCCTTCATTCTGTTTCTGTGTTCTTTGTTATTCCAATGTATCAATCTAGCGTCATGTGCATCGTTTCGCACCGGGTGCATTTTGGGGCGAGCTACTGGTAGCTATACGGTTCCAGGTTAGACGTTCAACTCTGCTTTTCCGGCTTTGGTGATGACGCCCTGGAGCTCGGGGTCCGCCAGTGCGGGGCGTACCCAGTCCTTCAGGAATTTGTCGACCTGCTCAGGAGCACGGCCAATGAAACTGGCGGGGTTGAGTAGGTCGTCGAGGTGGGCCTTGATGGGATCGAAGTATTGTTCTGCCTTAACTCGCTCAATGAGGTCGTTCTCTAAACCAAGCTGCTTAACCTGGTGCGCTGCTTCCTGGGAGAGGACCTGTAGACGGAACTCAGTATCGGTAATTCCTTTTCAAAGTTTTGGACACGCCCACCCTAATCTTTTCGTGGGCTTCTTGACGGTCGCCGCCGGCTTTGACAATGGCCATAATGATGTTTTCAGTCGCCATGAAAGGCAGCTCCTGGGAGATCCGACGAGCGATGACCTTGGGATACACGACGAGGCCTTCGGAGACATTCTGAAGCGTTGTCAGGACGATGTCAGCAGTCAAGAACGCTTCGGGGAGTGTGATACGACGATTGGCACTGTCAAGAGGCCTCGTATCAGCTCCTACAACTTATACACGATGTAAAATCCTGACCTATCATCTAGTGTCCGCTCGAACCACTGAACGCTCGAGGTCATAAGTGCGTTCTGGTGGAGGATCATCAAGTGTCGCGAGAGACTGCAGACACGCTCCGAGCGCATAGGGTTGCGCTTGTACGCCATCGCAGACGAGCCGATCTGAGTCGACTCAAAGGGCTCCTCCACCTCCTTCAGATTCGCTAGTAGCCGCAGGTCTGTGGCTATCTTGTGTGCAGTCGCACCGAAGCTCGCAAGGGGCGCGAGCGCATCGATGTCGATTTTGCGTGAGTATGTCTGGGAAGTGACGGGGTAGGCGTAGCTGAACCCGCAGAGCTTTGTGACCAGCTTGTCGAGTTCCTCGACCTAGGGAGAATTAGACATCGGTACTTTCACGCAAAGTAATATCCATGCTACCTTGTCGTGATCTCCATCGAAGAGTGCAAGGAAACTAGCTTGTGTGCCGGTTGTACCTTTAACACCTCGGAAGCCAATATCATCACGAGCGCGTTTGAGGTTTCGCAGGTCCCAAAGAAGTTCCTATATCAAACCAGTTAGGACGCTGTTGTCAACGGATTTTCTCTAGTGACGTACCTGGATCCAGAGCGTAGCCCGCTTTCCAACAGTTGTCAACTGAGCCGGCTGGAAGTGAGTGAAACCAAGGGTGGGGAGATCCCGATATTGCTCAGCGAGGTTTGAAAAACGGTCAATCACGACCGCGAGCTTTTTTATGAGGAGAGACAAGGCTTCTCGGATGAAGATGAGGTCCGCGTTACTGTGAAACGCAAGTTAGTGACGGCATTCACCAGGTCGATAGTGTGCACTTACTCGGTCACGTAGCATGAAGTGGCTCCGAGACTTATCACTTGTTAGTTTAGTGCATACTGCTCGACACTGGAGGACGCACTGAATAATCCCGGCGGCAGCAGGAGCAACCTGACCGAATGTGTGCACATGAGCCATCACGTCGTGGCGACGTTTCTTCTCTTCAACAGCAGCAATCTCGAACTGCTGCTCGTCGAGATGCTGTAATTGATAATAGATTAAGTATTGTTATCTCCTCTTGAGAAATTTCATTACTTACGAGGTTTGCCTTCATTTGCTCGATAGCCTCATCAGAGATCGGGAGGCCCAACTGCTTCTCAGCAATTGCGAGGTTCAGCCATAATTCGCGCCATGTGTGGAAGCGGTTCTAGTATCCCCTAACTTCGTTGTTGTCTTTCGCATACACGAGAAATAGAACGAACCGCGGACGAGAAGAGATGGGACATCTCTTTACTCGCATACCGGCTGAGCGCAATATGGTTAGCGATCGTCCGGGTACAACACGGCGTTACACACCTTGCCAGCGGCGTTTGGTACGTATCGAAAGCCTCCATGTCGTTGTGGTCGACTGCAAACGAGTGGACTGAGTCAAAGTCGATGTGTTCTCCTTTTCTGATAAGATAAGCGCTTAAAAGGCTTCGAGATAACTGATTATCGTCTGCTACATACAAAATGAAGGACTACAGTGAGCTAGTGTTCAATGACTAGGTACAGGTACTACAATACGCTAGAAAGTCTCGTCATGTCGTCCAATTGTCATCAAGGTCATCTTAAGAATCGTTATAAGCGAGAGCTGCCTGCAGCTCGCGATCTCATGGTGGACTATTGTCCAAACAATACCGCACCTCCCAGTCCTGAGCATCGAAGGAGTTGTTACTATCCCTGCCCTGGGACTTAATGGAAGACGAGCTACCTCCGAAAGATCGTACAACGGCGGGTGTAACGACGTGCTGTGTCCCGTCCATCGGCATAGAGCTGACGCCTACGGTCTGTGCCTCCAGGGATGGCGAGTACACAGGCATAGTGGCGTCGAGGACGGAGGCAAACGAGCCGGAGCCCATGCGTATGAGTGTGCGATGCGGGAGCTCGACAGGCGTCGCCACTACCATGGACCGCGACCCCATAAAGGGCATGCCTTCGCCCGTGTAGGCTTCCATAATCTGCTGTCCTAACATGCCGGAAGATCCCAGGGTATAGCCGACCTGTACGTCCGCCAATGGCGGTATAGACGCATACTTCCCATACTGATACTGCTCGCGCAGGAGTACGGGATCGATGTCTGCGTCCGTGGGCATGTAAGAATCGTCTAAGCCCATAGGTTCTGGGTGTGCCCAAACGTTGTCCCTGACGACACCCTCAAAGCTGGGTATTCGCATGGCTTCTGCATGTCGGAAAGAAGGATGGTGTCCGAGCAGGGGATCGATATCGACACCGGCGCCCTCTGAGAGCGCCTTCAGGAGCGGTGGCAGGGTGATACGCGTGTTGGGGACTCTGAAAGGGTCCCGGTCATTCTCGCTTTCGACGCGCCGCATGGGCGGGTGAATCGGTGCGAGGGTGTTCGTCGTATCGCGCGTGTGCACGGCCACGTTGGGACCCGGCATCATAGATAATGAAGCGAGCCAAGACGTCGAGGACTGCGAGGGCGAATAATGGGGCTCGACAGGAGAGTGCATGCCGTGGCTGTGCCCGCTACTGCTAGCGGAGGAGATAGACGAGGATGTTGTACGAGGAACAAGGGGCGGAAGACAGAGGGTTTCGCACATACTCGCGCGACCCGAGGGACGAGGACAAAGGTACGGAATATGCCCAGATGCGATGTCAACGTCGGAATGGTCGGTGCCAGAGGTCGACAGAGGTAGAGAGTGAGACTTGCTCGAGCGCATACTGTGGGCACTGGACGCTCTGGTCAGGCTCTCGGCGATCGGTTCTTCCGCCGAGTTCGAAGTGCCTCGCATAGATAACGCCAGAGCGGAGTCCTTCGTCTTCTTGAACACACACGTAGGACAGTTCTTCACATATTGTGCTATAAGCTCCTTCGGGATCCAAGAGTAGCGTTCGCGGACGTACGCCATCGTCCTGTCGCGTCCCCCGTGACCGGAGATACGATGACAGTACGAGACGATGTCGTAAATCTGTTCCCTCAAAGCTACTGGTCGATCTTCGTGCAAGATGACAGGTTGCTTGTCTTCGTCTGTGCCAGCGTCTCCGCGGGCATACGACAAGACGAACATCTTGCGTACCCAGAAGCGAAACTGAGGGGTGCGCAACTTTGAGTCTCGTGGGTTGTGAAGAACGTCCCAGACGTCGTCGAACATGACCTGCGTGAGGAGGGCTTTCTCGCGTTTCCTAAGGCTGAGCGAGTTGAGGTAGTCTTGTTCGATCCGCGCATACTGTTCGCGTGTAGGTAAGCCCAGCTTGAGGTTCTTGGGCACTTGCGCTTCGGACACGAAGCCGTCTGTCGACAAAGGGAGGTCATCGTGAGCATTTTCGTGATCTTCCAGCTTCACTTTCTTTGGGCATCGTTTCGGTTGCCTAGGGTAGCTGGCAGGGGTTGAAGAGGCTGTCCTCGACCGACGCTGGTGCCTTGTGCGGGGTTGCATAGTCTGGATATAGCTTAAGAATAAATTATCAAGGTGTAATATATAGATTAGTGTTGTGTAGTGTGCAGAAGGCTCTAGCTCAACCAGGAGCAGAGCGACGACGAGGTGGGAGACGTTGAAGCGTACCACAGAGTTAGCGCCCAAGCGTCGCGCGTTCAACTTACGGCGCTTCACGCCGTATTTCCGCATAATTCGTAAAAGAGGGCTACAAAAAGTGTTTCAACGCTTCCACAACGCAAAAATTGGCAGATGGAGGACTCAAAAAAACATCCTCCCTGGCGGGGAGTCGAACCCCGCTTTCGCGCGATCGTAATTACGTAATGACAGGCGCGTGTACTAACCGATATACTACCAGGGATTGGTTTCTTCAGCGAAGATTGACATACAGAGGGACATACTCATATCATAAATTCCAATCGCGTGCTATACACTAACTCATTACACATTCTGGGTTTGCATTAAGAAAAGGAAACGACTGTCTTCACTTTCCGTTTTGGTCAGTTACGGAGACTAGGTTTGCATTGGCTCACAGCAAAAGGTATTCACCTTTTGCTCTGGCCCAAAGACTGCTGGAAGGAAAGATATCTGCTTGTGATATCATCTTGCGTAACCATCGGTATTTCGAGGATTACTAAAACTGGCGGGAACGGAATGTAAGGTCAATATCCATGAAAAGCATTTGCGAAGAACATGCTGATTCCTGGCATCGAAAAACAATCTGTGGCGAACCCTCTAGCGAGGTTAGGACTTACAAACGTCTCGCACGGGAATTGCTCTCGTTGCAAGAATATGTACTCAGCATAGTTACGGTCAAATATGTAGAGTAGAAACATCGTTTGGATGGTCCATATCTCCGCATCGAATCGATTGCAAGGCATTTCCTGGTGAGCCACCGCAGTCGAGTTCGTTACAACTTACAAGTCACGAGCGGCGCGTTGTTCGCAAAATGCTCGGCGCGATCACGTGGGGCCATCACGGATCTGCGTGAAAGCGTCGGTCGCTGAACAGTGCTAGTGAAGGTCGCTGACTCCTCGACCCTCACGCGCCTTGTTCTATGTTCAGAGTGTTGAAGTGTACTCATACCATGACTGCGCAGAACATCAACCGGTGGCTACCAAGTCTCCATAGATGATGCAAGCCGGGAAATCTCAGCCGCACGAGGACCTGCGTCGACCCAGGATAGACAACTTGCGAGACCTGTGACTGCACATCTATCTGATGAACGCGATGCACTTACTTGCTGTGGAGCAGACGTGCCTCCGTCGTGCTCTGATAGAAGTGTGTGTCAACGACATTTACTCCTATACACCAGGTCGCCAGGTTCGTGTCCGATGCGAACTCCACGATCTTGTACATACGAAACAATTCCCCGTCCCCGCGGTCTCTGTGCGCGCAAGAGGGAGACGAATAATATCAGACGAACAGTTGGGTGGCGAGGATTCAATCATGTATGCTACTTCGTCGCTTCCTTATTCCCATAAGTGCTTCCTACCCATCCCTCTTCGCAGCACGGAATAGATGTCAAGATGATTTGGACCATTTGCGAAGGCATCGTCACCTCCACATATTCAACGCGTGCAAATGCACTTCCCTGTATGGCATCGAGATTACAGATTGAGAATGAGGGGAGGTGAGCCAACCACGTCTACCAATCCTCGAAACACATCACTGACAGCATTATTATGCCACTGCCGGGTATAAGACTAGGAGCTGGGAGCCCGAACATGCCTCAACCTACTGAAACGACCCGGATATGTCGACGGATGCAGACATCGTCACTGTTTATACACAGCTGTAAGCTTGACATCCCAAGGCTATCGAGGCTTCCACTTATCTACTTTGAAGCATCGCAGGTACATATGCTATCTGTGCGAGTGATGGTGAGACGTGCCAATTAACCCATTTCGAAACACTCTGAAACACCCCCCGAATTCAGCGTGGATAGCCTACGAGTATTTCGTCATGTTTAAGCACGAAGTCGACATCTTTTGGAACCGGAAGTGGACTGCCGCAACATGGATTTTCGTTGGCACCCGATACCTCTTGGTTGCAAAGGCGATCCTTCAGACAGTACCCATTGGTCCACAGGTGAGGATCACGATATCTCTACCCGGGACCTCTGCCACTCATCAGATCAGCTGTAAGCATTTCAGTTCCTGCAGCACGTCCATCTGCTGAATTCGGACTACTTGGACTAGCTGTCGCAACAATTTTGCAATGAACTTCATAGTCTTCCTCTTCGACGCTACCCTGCCAATCTTACCAGCTGCCGGTGTGTGGTCTCTGAAATTTGTTACCATTCGTTCAAATATTTTACTCGTGTTCCCTTACAGCGTTCAGTATCTTACGCTGTTTCGCACTTATGCGGCACAATTTCTTTTGGCCTATCGTTCTTTGGACGCAGGTTCTCCTGAATCTTTTCGTACTTGTGGCGAACTCTGTACGCTATTCTTTGTGGCCCGGGTATGCATATTCACGTTTGCCAACAGTTCATTGCCTTCGGGGCTACATGGATCTACTCCGACGATCCAATACTTGGTCCACAATGTGCAACATCACCATCTATTCCCAGCGCGGAAACTTATGCACGGTATGCGCATTCTCGTTGCTTGAGCGACTGTTAAGATACTGATGAGTTAGTAACCTTAGCCGTACGTGGGATTCACTCTCTGAAGATAATGATTGTATTATGCTGATTTCATACGTAGTGCAGTTAGCTGTTTCCTCAGCTGCAATTGCTGTAGATGCAGTACCGCTTGCGGTCATCTTGGTCAACACTCTTCATCAAGTCATACGTGCATTCTCACAAGGATTGCACGTGTCTCTAAGCCACGTACTGTTACGAGACTGTGCGTAATATCTGTCTTTCCCGCTCGTTGCTGTCTGAAACAATCTGTATGCAGGCAGCATATACTTCTTGTAAAGATTCCACTTGCAAACTCAACAATTGTAGCTCTCATTTCTTTGCTATTTTCAGAGTCAGCTTGATCCTTTCAGCCGTCCAGTTCTCCCCGGTCTTGAATGTAAGCTATATGCTTGGTTTCCTCGCGATTCTGATCTCATCGAACTGCAGGGAAGCGGACTTGCGATATACGCTCTGGCACCCTTCTTTGACGCGTGTGTATTTGGTCCATTTCTTAGCTTGCTGTGCTCATGCAGCGCTGTTAGCGTACCGCTGATCCTGCTCGCACGTTTCATCATCAACCTTCGCCAGGCCGAGAACCTAAATGATGACACCACTGTTCAAGGCGTGTCCCGTGTCTCTGCCCTAAATTTCCGGATGATCACAATCGACGACGTTGTCGGCAATCTGGGCGAGGCACTCGAATTTACGGCTGAAGACAGTGCGGACTATGAAGAGACCGCTGACGGGTCAACAAATCAGAGCGAACAGGCAATTTATCCGGAGACAGGCGATAACACGCGCGGGGACGACGAATCTATCGAGCTGTCTGGTATGAGCACGAACAATCAGTTTGTTGCCTAAGATCGGCTTATTTCCCGGTATGTGACTTTGTATACTTGGAAGTGTACTATATATCGATACCCTCCATTCCCAGCCGGCTTGACCGAGGCATACTTTTGATTCCGTGTGTTTATGGCTGCCCGTTTCCGCTCAATCCAGACTCGGTGACAGGTGTGTGTGCTAATTTAAAAAGGAGCACTTTTGTATCATATCCTATTGCTCTGCTGCGAATACGAACGTCAATGGTTCTTGATAAATAGCCTGGCATCGGGAAACACTCACACGACCGTGGCAAACCCTCAGGCTAGGTTAGGGCTCGTAGACGCTTCGTGTGGGGATTACTCCCAGCAGTTCCTCTTGGAATGTAGCTTCTTATTGGCCACCTCTGCATCTGCAGCACGGTATCATTGTTTCACTATCTCGTGTCTTCTTATTGAAGGCAGACTTCCCTTTGTGAGCCACATTTTTTCCCCTTCGGAGTTACCCTCGACCGAGCCTCAGATGGCCACGTGGCTCCCATCACAGATCTGCGAGAAACCGTAGGTCGTCTTGTTCCTCGATCTTCATGCAACTCGTCGTGTGCTCAACGTTCATGAGCTCATCCGCACCCGTAATCATGCAGAATATCATTTTTTGGCTACTATCCATCTGCAGATGCTGCTCTCTTGACTACGTAAGAAGCTCTGCGTGGGCCCAAGACAGACATTCGGGACTGAAGATCCATTCCAGTGTCTGCGTCGCACTCATTTCTTGACGTCAAGCAGGTTTACTTTCCGGAATTTTAGGGATCGCTAAGCAGGTTACTTTTCGGAATCTTAGGCATTGCTTATAGGACAAGGTCTCGTCACTGACATCGATATCGAACCACTAATTTTGCCTATCCAGCTTATAGCCAGACATGCGATACGCCCATCGGTCTCTGTTTGCACGAGGGAAGGAAGATAAAATGGCAACGTCGGGGTGGCGAGAGTTTGATCATGTACGCTTTTTCTGCCCTACTTCGCTCTCATATCTGCTTCTTGTTCATCTCCCTTCACGACGTATAACAGGCTCCACGATGATCACAACAAAACTCGAAGACGTCGCGTACTCCACATATTCAATTCGTGTAACTGCGACCCCTTCATGGTACTGGACGTACAGACTTGCGACCACACAAAAGATGCTCTTTCGCATACCAATCTTCAAGATCCATCAATGAGAGTATCATGCTCTTGTTGCCACGTATAAAACCAGGCACGAGCGCAATGTATCTCTACATGCCACACCAAGTATGTCGACAGACGCAGACATCATCGCACTCTTAAGTCAAAGGTAAACGTGAATCCCTAGTAGTCGCTCAATCATTCATTGACTCATCCTGTTCAAGCATAATAGGTGCTTATGCTACATTCGCTAGCAACGGTGAGGCGATTCCGCCATGTAGTGTCATAATAGACCCTTCGACAAATTTTACCACAGCGTGGATAGCCTATGAGCATCTCTTCATGTTCAATTATGAAGTTGACTTCCTGCTGAAGCGTAAATGGGGCGCTGCCACATGGATTTTCATTGTCAACCGATACCTCTTAATTGGAAAGATCATCTTCCAGGCGATACCTTTTGGTCCACAAGTGAGTATTTCGCGCTTTTGGATGAGGTTCCTGCTGATTGTCAGCGCAGATGTGAGCTTTTGAGCGTGGCTTTGACGTATTTACCTGCTGAATTCACGTATAGCTGCGGTAACAACTTGGCAATGAACTTCCTCACCTTTCTCTTCGATGCCGCTCTGCCGATCATCCCTGTCGCAGGTGCGAACTTTCAATTCAGATTGTACGTGGCCGAATAGCTCACAAATAGCTTGTCATAGCGTTCAGCATCCTGCGCACTTTCGCACTCATTCAGCCCGGTTT